GAATTTCTCAGGAGGTAGAATGAGGGAGGACTATGGAATAGGGAAAGAAACAGAAGAAAGGGACCACATGTATTTAAAACAGAAATCATGACCTTGACTTTCCATTAAGAGTTGCATTTAATTTCAATGTAAAGGCAACCTCTTGCTTACTTTTGAGTTAGCATGAAGATCAGTAGGCATGTAAATGTCGGCACAGTAAGGGAAGGAGAAACCTAAAACAGTTTAGTATGTTTATTTTCTTGTGCAAACCTTGAGCTCAGACTTCTTTAAAGTCTTGATCACAAATCTATCATCCCGAGAAAGATAGAAAAGGCTGCCACTCTTTCCAGGAGACGAAAGCTCTCTCAGACCATCATCACCACAGATGGACATCATATACTCTGCCGCATCCAGCTTGAACAACTCTCTCAAATATCTGAACATGACATTTTACATAGTCAGACAAATGACTCAAACTCTACAGTAACTCATGTAGAGCAATAAGAACAGAGAAGTCCTCTAGAAATTTTAGGTTATAGGTGAAAGAAAATTATGAATTTTCAAGGGTGGCAAATCCATACACTTCTAACATTTTTAGGCTCTGGAGGAAGGAAATTCAAGACCCATGGCACAGAATACACTATGCTAAATCATAACTGAAGAGTCCTGGAAGCAACATTCAGGATGAAATGATCCAGAAAGAGTGAACAGACAGCAGTAGAGCCTTTTAACCCATTGAGGGAAAACACTTGTACCAAGAAAATTTTAACCAAACCTTTTTACATAATCTCATCAAATCAAGTAGAATAAGTCCCTAACCCCCTCCTAGCAGTTAAGCAAAGTAGACAGTTCCCTATAAAAGAGCTATTGCCGGTTTAATCCAAAATTTTACTTTGCTCCCATCAGAAGGTCTTCATAGATGGAGAGTGTTAAAGAAACAACCAAGCGGAAGATATAAAATAAATGTGCAAGTACCTGAAAACCATAGGGCAATAGTCCTTCCAATAAAAATCGATGGAATGATGTGAAGGTGTAAATTGGGAACCCTTCCTGGGAAAGTACATTTTAATTCTAGCTTGATCTCCAAAATCTGATTGTCTCACTTCACGGATAGGCACAGGAGTAATCTTGCCAACAGAATACCTGTGATTTCTGCCATATTAACAAATAGTTCTACGGTACCAACTGGATTTTACCCCGCGAATTATCAATTAGAAAGGACATTGATGTATCCTTACCTGATACCAAGTTGCAAATTAAGCATCAGATAGTAGCTCTTACGGCCTTCTAGAAAGTACACACATGACCTCCGTTTTACTTCTTTTGCGTGAAACTTAATCCGTTGTTTACTTTTGCGAGATAGCCTACTAATATTTATAATCCTTTCTTTGATTAGGACTCCTTGCGTGTATTCTCTTTCATATGCCACAGAACCAGTTTCCAGAAAATCACTTTTGTCATCATGAGAGCTTTGAGATAATACACTTGATGAATCACAGGCCAACATGTCTTTGCTGGAATCACCAAGGGCAACGTCTTCTCCCTGTGACGTAGTCCTCAGTGATATGCTTCCTGAACCTTTAAGCAAACTATAGGAGAATCTCTCTGAAATACTACGCTTCACTTTAGGTTTCACAGACTCTGAAATAGTTGATGAAGTATGTGAGAGCTGCTTTTTCCTCTTCTCGTCATGCCTATCACTGGACTTTCCCAGAAAGCGATGCTTACTTCCAGCAGGATAAAACATTCCAAGTCCATCTTTTAGCCCTTTAGTCCACACCCCAAAGTAGTAACTTCCATCAGCAAATCGGTAACAGCCTGAACCATGTCTTAAACCATTCAACCAAAATCCATCAAAAAGATCTCCATCAAACCATTTCATAACACCTCTACCACACATTTTTCCATCTTTCCAGTTCCCAATATACATGTTTCCATTACTCCATGCATATCGACCGCTGCCTTCACGTACTCCCTCTTTCCAACAACCATCATAAACATCAGAATTCTGATACTGTTTTCTTCCTATCCCATGCTGGGTATTCATTCTCCAAACACCTCTGTATATTGAGCCATCAGACCCATTAAATATTCCAAAACCATGGAGGTAACCTCCAGAGAAATCACCCTCATATGAAGCTCCAGAAGGCCAAATAAGCCATCCTTCTCCAGTCATTTTTCCTTCTTCCCAACAACCATCATAAACGGATCCATCTGACCAAGTATATTTACCTTTTCCATGAGGAAGAATCCCCTTGAAACTACCCCCATAAGCATCTCCATTTAAGAAGACCTTTCCAGTAATGCTGCATATAGAATTAAGTAGTTGAGTACTAACAAAAAGCTATGTGGAAGACAGGCATAGTTCAGGCTAAAACTAAAAGAACCAGCATTGCTTATACATGGACGGATAAGGGCTCTAATGTGCAAGTACCTTCCACTTTCCTCCATGGCCTGTCGTAATCACCCGCGATCTGTTCAAAGCTCCTTAATGATAGTCAATGAACCCATCTAAGGAGCCTAGCCGTAAGTGAAATACTCTAGTTAGCAACTTCAATAATTTTTATACCTCACTAAGCACATTGCGATGCAATAATAAATAGGATAAGAAATATCCAATTCAAGTAGCATAAAGTGCACCTGTACCTCTAACCACTTCACAAATTTAGTTAACAGCAATCATTATTCAGCTGATTTTTCTTTATGAATAATTTTTTTTATTATTTGGATAAGCACTCTACAGAGTAAAGGTTTTAGGATAAATAGAATTGAGGCAAATAGATACATTACAAGTTTAGTCAGTATAAAAAGAGAAGTTGAGGCGAGACTAGACGAGATTGCAGTGCCTAAATGCAAAATATTCTAGAGATCTAGGCTCGATTTTCTAAGAGAATGGTATGATAGATGAAGATGTAACATCTAAAATCAAAGTAGGATGTTTGAAATGGAGAACCAGAGTATTTTGCAACAAAAGCATACTTACCTAACTGAAAGACAAGTCATGTATAACACATTTAAATCTAGAAAGTTTGTGATTCTTGGATCACATTGTTAATAGTAACCGTACTTAGATACATTGTTAATAGAAGGATATACCATTTTAAATCCAAGTCACAATCCTTGAAACATTTTATGCATATCCGGAGATTGGAGCTGTTAATCTTGAAACACAATGTATCATTTGGTAAGTTTTAACTAAAAGCTAGAAGCTATTACATAAGTGATGGACTCACATATTTAATTTCATTGTTCTGAAACATTATCCCATTAATCTCCCTATATAATTACTTTTTCAGATTCTCATGCCAGGACTAAAATTTGCGTTCGACGCCAGCAGTTGTGCAGAATAACCTAATAATATGCTACTACTCGTCAATCAACTTGAACACAATTCGTTCTGTAGAAATTGGAATCAAACGGTATAATTTCGACAGCATTACAAACATATTTCTGCTCCTCATCTTCTCTCTATATGAACTTAATCAGTCCAAATTTCCCTGCAAACTGACAATTATCTTAACAGTCGAAGCTAGTTGGCATCAAATTAAAATCCTCAACAATAATATCTCTAACTAGCAGCTGAAAATGAGAGCAGAAACACAAACATTCAACTAATCCGACGAATTCATCAATAGACTCAACAAAAGGAACTACATCATTTACTCAATTGAGAAAACACATCAACTTCACATAATCTGATAGCACAAAATAACTCGTCATTTAAATCAAAAATTGTCCATGATAAAAAATGAGCATCAAAGAACTATTAACTCACCTCCAAATTGCACTGTATACACCGAACGATCGCTGAGCCCTAAAATCGTCAGCTACTAAAATTTAAAAGTAAATTAAAAAAATCAAATCGATAGCTGCAGCGGAAAGCGATTTCGAATTGACACTTCAACTTCTTCCTTGAAATCTACCGCCAAAACATTCACCACTTTCTCTCTCTAGATTAATCTCTTTCTCTCACTATGACGTTACCTACAAGACTACAAAAGCTCTTCTATCAAGCTTAGCCTTTCCGCATAGTTTTCTGTATATGACATGAAGAAATTTCTGTTTGTACTTTTTTGGATTTCAGTTTTACGGACACACTTAACTGAGAAAAGGCTAACGCGATAGGTATTTATACTGACGTGGAAAAGGGGTAACGTGGCGGCCGCATAAGTGACGAGTTACACGTGTTTCGATCGTAGTGGTGATATACGGGGATTAGTTTGGACGGGAGTTGTAGCTGATTTTGCTGGCGTTAAACTGCTTGCCACGTAAAGTACAAAATAGTGGGAATTAAAAAAATTTGAAGAGAAGAGATTTTAATTTAATTATTTAAGGAGGAATTGATTCCTCTTTCTGAACGAACAGCTCAGATGACTTGGAATTAATGGAATCTTTGGTTGCTCTATGTTGAGGTTCACACGAATTCACGTGAAAATTTATTAATTTCGTACATGATTTTTTTCCAATAGTTTTTTATTACTTCAAAATATGATGTTAGTAATATTATTTTAAGTGTTAAATGAATTTTTTTTGTTATTTTTAATTACTTTTATATATTGATCGNCGAATATTATCTTTGTTGATCTCACTAAAAAGATATGGTCGTCCTTTGGAATATTGACTCTTTGAAATTCGTACTTATGGCTTTTATTTTTTATTTTTCGTCTTCTAGCACAGATTTGTTGGATCGTGTTATAAAAGGTTTAAATCCGTTTCTTTTCTCACTTGCTTTATTTTATGATTCTGTCAAGTGAACCATTTGGAATGGACGTAGATCAGTGGAGCTATTGTGTCTCTCCTTCGTCAAATATTATACTGTATAATTAAATAAAATTATTATTTTTATGTATATTATATGTTGAATTCTCTTGATTTTTATATATGATTTATTTTTTATTTTTTGACACTCTTTAGTAAAATATTTGGATCCGCCTCTGCTTTAGACTTTAGTGGTTCTTTTGGCTTTGGACAAAAGCACCGATATGATGTGTCAAATATTGTCCATGACCCAAAAAAATATGTTGTCCATGCAAACAATAAAAACAACTTGACGTTTAGTGTCATGAGGTGCTCTTTTATTCATATATTCGTTTTCTTTTTTCTTTGTGTTATTGGAGGTGTGTCAATATCAACAAAAATATAGTGACAGTTGTTTACACGTTAAAAAAGTAGTATATTTGCGCAGCGTGACTAGATTAGGTAGCAATTCTTACATGTTTTCATTTCTTTCTCGATCTTTTGCTTTTTTTGGGTTATAAAAGAGTTTTAAATTTGTTAGGTACCTCTATTTTCAATGAGTTAGAAGGTCGTGTTTCTTTCAATTCGTGAATATAAGATAGACTAATACTTGCGTTCTTTTTAGGTGGCTATTACGCGTATACTCGACGGTTTAATTGAACTCATAACTTTCGATACGGAGTAAAGAATTATATTTAAAAATTTATTAAAATTGCAAAAATAGTAGATATAAACTCATAATTTTAAAAATATAATAGGTTCAAAGCTATTTTTTAAAAGTTGAACCCATAGGATTTAAATTCTGGATCCACCTCTAGCTATTATAGATATGACTAAACTCTATTGGTCTTAGTCCAAGGTTAGAATTTAACGTGCAGATTCGACTAAATTCAATAAATATGATTTATACTCAATATTTTTCTTAAGAAATTTATTTAATTTGCATAAATTATTAATTTAGACCGAAGAAACTTAAAATAGTTAGAATTCGAGCTCATAAGCTTCAAATTCTGGTTCCGCCTCAAGGTTTAGCACATTTTCAATAAAAACTAAAAGATACAGGTGTACAACTAGCTGAATTTGAAATGCTTTCTTTCTTTTTTTTGTATTTCTAAATTAATAATACTATGTATACGTAGCATATTACTTGACATTTGATATGCGGCGCAAGATATCTTTTTTTATGTAAAATTGTATCTTAATGGACTATGGATTACCTTTATTTGACTTTAAAACAAGGTAGATTGACAAAAAAAAATGGCTTCTTCTGGGACAATGCATGTGAATCGACAATCTCTGATCCTATGTTTTGACTCGACATTAAAATGAATCTAAGCACTTCTCAAATATGAAATGATGACAAAAAGTCTATCTTTATTGTTCCTTTTAGTGATAGTTGGGGGATGGAGTGGGGTTACTCTGTCGATCGGTGAAAAAAGTTTAAAATAATTTAAATTTTTTAGGTTTACTATTTGATATTCAAAGTTTAATGGCCGACTAATACAGAGTCACATTACCAGATATTTTTCTATTCTTTCGACTCGAACCTTAGATTTGTAGACTCTAGTTAAGGTGATCCTACCATACCTCTTTATAGTGGAGTATATCAAATATATGCATCTTTAATTGATTGTGACTTGTGATTCCCCATTGACAATTATAGTACATAGTATTAACTAATAATTAACCTTTGGAATTAGATTCTAGACAGTTACTTTAGAGCCACGAGCAAATAATATGGTGAAGCTGGAAAGATGAAGAGATAATCATTGAGTAAACTCTCTTTAATTACCTTCTTTTAGCCGACCATTAACACATCAGGAATATAGTTAACTGTTTCTTAAGTGGATTTTGTTTTGACACCAGAGATGAAAGAACTTCTAAAAGTATGTTGAGGAAGTCCAAGAGCATGTTGACAATTAATGGAGTGAATAATTATATATTTAGTAGGCATGTTATGTCTTGATTTGATTACTCAACTAAATTTCATCATTATATCGACTTGATCGATAGGTAAGATATGTTCTACTGAACGTATAATTAATTATAAGCAGTTTCGTATAATATAATATTATTCGTCTTGTCTTTGGCAACAGCGATGTTGATTTTGTTGTAAGACAGCTATAACCTATATAATCATTCACGAGAAAAAAGAAAATCGAAAAAATTATTTCTGAGCTCATAAAACAAGGGTTCTTTTCCCAGAACTATTTGCAAGCTACTAAGAAGAAAAAATAGCAGAAAAGATGCATAACTTATGATCTGCATGGAAGTGGTAAAACCATGTCATCATGTACAGTACAACTAAAACAGATTTGCATGTCAAAAACAACAATCTGTACTATGCAGCCACACGCGCACACACATTCGTAGATATATATATATATTTATATAGTTCACGATACATGGAAAAAAAAAAAGAGAGAGACGCACACAATCAGTAGAATTTAACCAATTATAAGGATTAGTCAATTCACCCAATCTTCGGGACTAATTATTCTTAATTTTTGTACCTTGAAGTTTGAGCTGCTAATTTGGAATCCAGGACTTAATGTCCTAAATATTTGAGCTGCTAATTTGAAATCCGGGACTAAGAGTCTGGAATTTCTGAACTGCTAATTTGAAATTCAAGGACTAAGTATCCCGAATTCCTAAACTACTAATTTAAAATTCAGGACAAAAGATTTGAATTTCTGGACACAATTTTCAAACTTTAGGGTACGATGTCCTGAAGTTTGAACCTCACTCAAGACGTCGTGCCCTGAAGTTTGAGCGCATTGGCTAATCTTTAAATATATTGTAAACTGTGAATATATTTTAAACAACATGCTTAATAGTGGTTACCTAATGTCATTTCGTGTACTTCAGGCACTCGAAAATTAATTGTTCCCTGAAAGTTTCAAATATTACCTCAAAAAATATATTAACAAGGCTAAACTATCATGACCAGAAACACTCTGGAGAAACTAATTCATGCCATTTCGTCACTTCTTAACACAGACATAATATAACTGGTCACCATAAACACACATTCCTTCTCTTCTGCAAACATCTAAGAAAATGCATTTAGAGGAAAAGTTCTCAAGTTTAGGTTTCAATGGATCAAGCAATTCCATAGAGAACAAGTCTCAAGTGACAAAACATGTTCAAAACTTCAAAAAATTACATCATCATCCAGAATGAGAGTCCACGTTGATGCAACATTAAATTATTTAGAAGAATATTAATCATTCACTATATATATTACACTACCTTTTCTGCACCCCCACCACAATAAAAGAAAAAGGTAAGAAGAAAAACACAAAAACAAAATAGTCGTCTTGCCTTTTGGGATTGAGCCTACCTGTCGCACAGGGCTTGCCTAGTGTGATTTACATCCTCTGTGTGGTTTGCAGGCTATTACACAAGGGGAGGTTTACCCAATGCGCACAAAGTGCTCATCACAGAGTGCTCACCCGAAGGGTAGAGGCTGTGGCAGAGATTGTAGCGGCTGCGGGTTTCCCCTCTTACCAAAAAAAATAAATTGCAGTCTTACTGTAGCAATCTTTCTGGAACATAAAGAGCATATGGCAGAGGAGAAACATCTTAAAGAATCAGAGGAGTAGAGAAGAGAAGAAATGCTTGATTCATACGACTGTATATGTGTTCACCAAACAAAAGATCCAAAAAGGTTATAAGGGTTCTGGTAAAAAGAAAGTTATCTCTTTTCAGTTGATTCTTCAAAACAAGCCATTTGAATCATTGCATCAACAGTCAGCTGATCAAGAAACGTTGGACGGAAACTTGTTTGCTTCCGCTTTGAAATTATCAGGATATCAATCAGAACTACATCAGCACCACCCACACTATTATGCTTTGATTAGCATTCATTATGTTAAGAACAACGAGAACAAAGACTAGATGTTCACAACAGAATTACTGATGAACGTCTTTTCAAACCTATGACTGAATGCCAACAGAATTACTGCGGATCGTCTTTTCAAATCTATGACTGAAAGCTAAAAGAAAAAGAAAATGAACGGTGGCCTAACTCAATCAAAAAGCTAGCTCATGCGGATTGCTGGTTTCCTAGACCATATAAAGAGACAACAACCTATATACTCAACCAATGTGGGATACTTTTGTTAAATGGACCTTGGGCCTAACTCAACCCCAAAAGCTAGCTCTAGAGGTGAGGATTGCCCAAGTCAATATAAGGAGATCACCCATCCCCTTCATTGTTGATGTGGGACTCAACAACTTAACAACCCTGCATGCCTAGGGCTGGACATTTGGAGCGTGGACAACATAACAGGAGGGGTCCAACATTAAGTAAACCAAGAGTAATGATGGCTCTAGCTTTAATACCAGGAGGTGCCGATTGCACAAGACCATATAAGAAAAAAACAGTCCATTCCCTCAAGGCCTCAACCAATGTGAGGCACTTGACAACCTCGTAGAATATCTCTCCATATGTGTTCAAGTTCTCAACCATTTCGCCAAATCTAAGAGTGTTTTGAAAAATCAAGGGCAGCAAGTCTAATGTCGAATAAACAATCATATCCAGGATTGTCAACAAATCTGTAACCCAAAATATATATACATGTACATATGGAAAGGGACGGTACGCAAACAGGGGAAAAGGTACAGTGAGAAACTTGTGTTTCAGCTACGAACTACAGTTAGAAGGGAAGCCCTTGGAGAAGTAAAAGCTTAGAAGGTCTTTAATTCACTTATTTCTTCAGACAATACACGTATGTGCATCGTTTGGGGTGATGGTTTCAACCTAGGATCTATCAAGAATGATCATGAAGCAATAATTAAGTGGGAAACAGACACTAACTTTACGAGGTTACCAGAGTAAGGTATAGCAATGGCGTAGACAATGGCTTAACCACAAAACAATTAGAAGTTCTCCAAGTACAACTATGACTGATATATCAACTCGAACAATAATGTCAACACTCAAAGATACAGCATAGGAATTATCTCTGATAGCACAGAGACAATAATAGTTTCAACTTTGTGCGTCAGACTGCAAGGAGTAAAAAAGCCAAGATGCTTGTATTTGGAAATGATCGAACCTTTAGTTCCTGACAAGCATCCAAGAATCTGTTTCGCGTTCTCCAGGTCAATGTCCATGGCATCTACATGACCTGCAACAAGATGTTAGGATTATGCCATAAGTGAAGAATCATAGAGCTGGCAGTTGCATTTTTAAGTATATTAGGTAAAACACCAGATGCTACTTCATGCTGAAGTTATAAGCAGTATGAAACTTATTCAAAGATACTGATTAATCGAGATGAAAGCAGAAAAAGAGGAGGAAAGACCTTATACATATGCAAGCCAGTACATTTATGCGTACATCCTAAGAAGCAGAGGGTACTCAAGAATGATCAGTAAAGAAATGCCTCTCTCAGCCAGCTTGGAAAGAACTTCCAGAAGATTGAGACACAGCGTCATTTCCATGTCAAATTTGAACCTTATGGTCATTCCTCAGCATCAATAAAGGCCCGCTGGCTATAATAGTAGATGATATGATGTTGAAAGCTTAATGTAAAAGCACTTTACCTGTTGCCTCCCAGAATATGCAAAGGTAAACACTTCAGGCGGTACTGAGACAGCATATTGAAGGAAAGGTGGCTCTCGACATTTGTCCAGATAGAACTAAAATAAACAATTGTCCGCATTAGCTTGGGGAGGAAGGGACCTCTCCTATGTATGGGAACGAGGCGGTTCTACAATCAGATATATAGTATGTTGCAAAGCACTGATATGATATATAGGTCCATTCAAGTAATGTCTCAAAGAGGAATGTAAATTTTCTCTCTTATGAGGAGAGAGAGAGGTCATAGGAGAAGCTTCACTAGTAATAGAATGTTTATGTCGGCTCAAACAAACATAGAAATTTTGACGAGTCAATCATATTATGAGAAACAACTTAATTATTATAAAATACAAACTTCAAATTTAGGATTCAACAGATAAACTTTTATGACTAAAGTAAGACGTTCACCATACAACAAATGTTACGCTTATAAGTTACAATGATGTACTATGTAGTGCTCATCCTAATTGCTGCAAAAAATTATCTCTGACTTCTACGGTTGGAAGAATTCCCTTTTCCCAGAGGAGGGAACTCATCTTCATTGGAGAAGCCCTTATTACCACTTTCTGCATGATATTCTGACTTATCATGGTTGTCATTTATACCATCTTTGTGGTGTCGAATTCTTGACTTGTCCAATGATGGAGGAACAAAAGGCTCAATTGCTGAAAGCTCAGGGTCAGGAGTATATGCAAACGGCAATTTTCTGTCATCCATCTTACGGAAAGTGATGGATATTCTGCAAGAAAGAACATAACAATGACGGTGTCAGTGGAATAGACAAGACAATTGCACAAGATAAGGAGCCATTTGGAACTTTTAGACAATTTTTTTTGCAAAATGATATGGATTTCCTTTTGTGCGCAAAACACTTGTCTGGGTAGTGGTATTATACATTTTTATTAAGAGCAATTATTAATATTGAATATTTATAGTCTTTTTGTGAGTGGAAGAAGAACTACTCTTTGAGAACATCGTCAAATCACTTCTATCGAAAATAGTGTTTTGAGAAAATCTTCTGCAAAAACTTCTTGAAAAACAAAAACAAAAATATATTCTGAAAATCTTTTAAATGTTTGCATTAAAAAAAAAAACAGTCTTTTTGAGAAATGCCACATTGATGTCATACATAGAAGAGAATTGGACAACCTTTTAGCTGGAACGCTAGGCACACAATGTTTAGCAACATCAGCTCCATTACCATTGAGAATGAGCACCGACCTGCATGATAGAAAGCAACAGGTTCTTAAACATAAATTCCAGACCAAAAGTATAGCTTTTCATTAAGGTGAATTCAAAAAGTATTTCAAATGAAGGAAAGGGAAGCTTAATTTTGTGAGACTGTTCTTGGAAATAAAGCTAGCCTTATTTACCTCAATATGCCACCACTACTCCCTATAAAACTAGATGCTAAATCTCTTCTCTAGGGAGGCAAAAGGAAGTTTCAGAAGTAAATTTAACAGACTTACAACCATCCCCCCCCCCCCCCCTTTTAATTTCAAGTGTGAACAATGACATTCTTTGATTAATTCAAGTAAACAATGTAAAAGTCAGAACAAAGGTTACTAATTAAGGTTTGCGCAACTTCCTAGTACCAAGTTTGTTCAATTATCTCTACTTGAAGTACCCAATAATTAATCCAGACATTTTATGATAGACTCTCTTGCTTTTGTTTCACTATCTTAGACATTTATGCAAAATTAGAGGAAAATGAAAGGTACATATTTCTATAGCATTCCCTGCTTAATCACCACAAACGTGACAAGGCAATGCAGATGGGGAAGAACTTGGGATGGGACCGAATCATGTAAGGTATTAAAATTTAATTGAGCAAAAAGAATGTAGTGTCATACCCGAGAGGAAGAGGTAAGGAGAAAGGACCAGAGAACTCTCCAGGATTAATAATCTTTAAGCTTGTGCCAAAGAGTATATTACATTCTGCCAAAAAGGACACTGTGCAGAAAGGTCGAACAAAGTCGTGATGGTCAACATGAGGAGGAATGCAATCACCCTCGTCATAAATATTCACAATGCAACTATTGGGAACACATGTCGGAGGCAAAACATGCCATCTAACCATCCTCCTAATCATTTTCTTGAATAAAGGAGGCAATGGATCCACTTCTTCATCTCTAATAATGCCTGGTGGATTACCATCTTTGTCCTGTTAAGGAGGATAAGTGGATAAATGCTGAGATAAAACTGAAAAGGAATAAACATGCATCTCAAAGAATCAATTAGATAACTCTTACCACAGCATAATTATAACAACAACCAAACTGCATTGTGACACGGCCCTTTCCTTTCATCCACTTTCTTGGTTCAGAATATGTTCGTGCTGCAAAATCAACCAAAAAAGAGAGAGAATTGAAACACTTAATTTTATTTATTTTTGTGAGAGCAACATTGTTAATTGATATAGCTATCTCTCTTCTTCTACATAGCAGCCTGGACAAAAAACAATTTTCAGTGGAGACTGAAATATTACAATGTAGTCAAATAATGTGTTCTCTAATGCCAATCCACAAAGAAGAAGATACATATCAGGATTAGAGAATTTTCTACCTCACATCTTAACCTATCGTATGTACTTTTTTTTTTTAACCAAGAAATTCCCGAGGGTCAATGCCACACAGTTTGAAGCTCGGTAGATAATGGTCCCACCCACTCATCTACCTTTCTCCACTTAAATACTAGGTTTTTGTTTACGACACGATACGAACCTGTGACCCACGCCTAACCTATACATCACGCGCTGCACTCTTACCGCTAGACCAAAACATAGCTTATGTATAGAACAAAATATACTTTCTTAATCAGATAACTATAACAGAACTAGAAAACTGATGAATCTATTTGCCTCATATATCTGTCTCTCTCGTTTTAGCCTTTTCCTGAGTTGCACAATTATAGATACTGAGAGAATGCACTTCAGATTTCCCAGATATGTTTATCGTTTCCTATGTTCTATAAGCGGACAGTCATTTATTAATATTTTGACTGAAAATATATAAAAAAAACTTGTTGATAATTCATATAAGTCTAGATGTAATATGCGTGTATCGTATACCAACAAACACAAGAATAACAATACAATAGCTTTCCAAACATTCTTCGCATTTCTCTAGCTATTACTCTAGATATAATTAATGGAAAAATGCATTCTGCAATATTGTATCACCATACTGATAGCCTTAATTCAGAAAACAAGATTGAATGATAACTTTAGTATGTACCTCTAAGCTGCCGTTTTTGTCCCATTCTCTGAAGTGCATAAATAAATTCGACTATCTCTCTCTGCTCATCAGGATTGAAAACCCGAGTGTGAAGCTCAAGCCCTTTAAGTATATTTGTCTCCTTTCCATTGACCTTCTCATAATAAATAAAATCCTTTCGTCTACCAACTTGGCCAAATCTACTTAACTCTTTCTGAGCCTCCGATAAACCATTGCCTACGACTGACCTACTAAGTCCATCACTTAGTGGAATCTCATAATTTGAATGATTGAACACTGATCGTTTGTTGTTTATCGATGAAGGTGTAACAAGTACCTTTGGCCTTCCTGAGTAAGTTGATTCGGCAACTTGTGGAGAACGCAAAGAGTTGAGTGTATGAGCATAAGAATTCAGCCTTCTCTTTGGTGAAATTACATCATCTGATGATTCTCCATGCAAGAATTCTGCAGAACTTTTTGTGACATTAACATCTGATAAAGACATTTCATCTAACCTTCCTACAAATTAGAAGAAAATTATGTGAAATTTGAATTGTATCAAAAAAACAAATCACTCCAAAAATCCTATTTTACCATCAAAAAAAATGAAAAGAAAATACTGTAGCCATTCCATAGATTCTCTATCTGAAAAAGCCTAATCTGTGATTTAAATCGAATTACTCAGAAATTAAATTTCTATTCAGGAACTCGAGATTGAATTTGAACATTCCTTAAGAACCACCCAACCTAGGATTATGTCCGAAGCATTCCTTAAATTCAAAGAGAAAGCTCAGTTCTTTCAATACTAGCAAGCAAAATATTCTCACGAGGGAATCTTAGTATTTTCAGTTAAAACAAACAGGCACTGTAATCAATTTATTCAATAGATATATTAATCTCTGCTAGAAGGGAAGACTTTAAAAAATTCAGGACAGAAACAAAAACTATAGTGTCACAAACAGAACATCAAAGAATTGATAATTACAACCTAAAAAATAAGTTTTTTGAAATTAAATTCAAATCGTAACAAAACATTAGATACAAATCCATTGATAGATCCGAAAATAGAATAACTGGGACAACTTACTCTGATGAAGATTGTAAACACGAGCCTCAATAACATCTTCGCAGTGGGGACATAAACCTTCAGACAAAACATCAAGAATCTCTTCACGTGACAAGTTCCTTAACATAGCCATGAAATCCTGCGACCTGCGGCAAAAATCTCCGGCCATGACCCAATTCTTATTCTTATTCCTCTTAGCTCTTGACCCACTAGACATAAACATGAATCAATCTGAATTTAACTGAGTTCATTGTTTTTTGGGACTGGAATGTATAGACTAAATTTAGCAAAGTCTTCGTATTAAATATAGTTGACTGACCCGAGGTGACAAAACTGAAACCTAAATGAGTTAGGAGTTAGGATTATGTTTTCAGTTAAAACAACACTGTACTTTCCATCTGTTAATTGTTTTTTGCAAATTAATCCTTTTAACCGTAGGAGTGGTAATTGCTCTTTTGTACTACTTGTGAAAAAAAAAACCTTGGGCTTCAAGGTAAGGAATAACCGACTTTTGCAGAGTAAATGAGAAATACTAGTTATTATTTAATTCAGGGACGAAAAATGGGCAAAAGTACCCTAGCTTAAATATGAAAAAATAAATAACGAGATTATTGGTAATATTAATTTATAAGAAAGTGTGTTCTGTTGGCACACTGTTTTTTTCTTATTTTTCCTCTATTTAAATAGAAACAACTATATTTCTCTAAAAAGGCTAGCCACTAAATAAAAGTTGAAACATAGAATTTTCCTAGAAACGAAAATTAAAAAAACGAAAAGGGCCAAATGTGTCCCTGTACTATTGGAAATTAGTTATTAGTACCCTCCGTTATACTTTCTCACATTATTTATCTCTAACATTATCTATTTTAATATCCTCACCCACATCACTAACGGACCCTTCTAGAGGGACACGTGTCTTAATCCTAAACAACCTAACCACTTACCAGTTGGATGCCTCACCCGTTTGGCCCCGACCCGCTAACCTATGTCCCCCTTAAAGGATGTAATCGTTTAATCCTCTCAAAAACTAGGGTTATTCCCCAACTGAAGCGATTTTCTTCTGGTTTCTCTCATCATCTTTATTTTCTTTATTATTTTGTCTAATTTTCAAGAATAGGGAGTTACAATGTCAGAAGGTAGTTCATCGTCTCAAGAATGTGTATCGAGTAGGACATGCAAATGTGGATTAACTGCACTCTACCTCATGGCCTACACTCCTTGGAATGCTGGTAGGAGATTCTATAAATGTCTGAAACCTGAGGTTAATATCGTATATTCTATGGTTTTCGTTGTTTTATGATAATTTTATGGTTTTCATTTTTTGAAATTTCACTTATAACATGGTATATGATTTTGTTTTTCAGAAAAATTCGTGTGGTTATTTTGAATGGACTGATAAAGTGTTACCCGACGGAGCTATGATAATTATTTGCAAGTTGAAAGCACAACTGGAGGCTGTCAAGATTGAAAGGCTGAAATTGAAGGAAAAATTGGAAGCATTAGAGGCAATAAATAAGGTTGAATTAAGGGTGTTAAACTGGTGGGCTGGGCCGGACTGGGTTGGGATTTTTTGGGCCCGTACGGATTATAGTCCGGGCCGGTTACGTGTTGGGTCTTACCGGGTTTAACAGGTTCAGGTTCATCCTGGTAAAAATTGAACCGTAAGGGTTACGGGTTGAGGGGGCCAGGCCGGGTTTAGTGTATTTTTTAATTTTTTTTTTGTATTTTATATAACTATTGTAAGTTATATTAATACAAAGTATTAACATAAAGAATACAAGGAAGATGGGAAAAAATTGCACTTATAAATTGCAAGTGCTACATTTATTTCAAAATAACAAAATTAAAGTTTGCATTTAAAAAGTAAATTAATAAAAAAAATAGTAAAACTAAATTTTCATGCATAATAAATTAATAATACTTCATATTAAGCTAACAAACTGAAACATTAAGCATAAATACGTCTAATAATTTTAAAATAATACAAATTATCTTAAAATCTTAAATATGAATTTCCGGAGGACGCTCAAGACAATACTTTATATGCCTCCTTAAACTGCCTGTGTCAGACCCTGAACGAAGATTTAAGACTTGACCACAATTTTTGCACTTTCCTTCTGACCTTCTTCATTTTCTTCTACCACCTCAAAGTGTTGCCAAACATATGAGCGCACTCTAGAAGTACGAGGCATGATTTAACTTGAATTGAGATTTGAGATTTGAGAATTGATATTGAGAAATCAGAATTGAGAGATGAGTGAAGAAATGAGGAAGAGGAGGGGGGGTATTTATAGTTTTAGAGAAGGTTAATTTTGTAAATTGAAAAAAAATTTAAATTTTAAAGAAAAAAGAGGCTATTAATGCAATTAAGGGTGTTAAGCAACGGATTCCTGTCATGGGTGACCGTTGCCAACGGTTAGTGGGCCCCACAGATTTCAAAAAATTAAAAAAAAAACAAAAAAAAAGACTTAGCCGTTGTACCGGTCCGGGCTGGGCCGGTTAAACCGGTACACGGTACTATTTACGTGGACCAAGTTTGACCGGTTTGGTTAACCGTTAAAAAAATAAAATAAACGGACCAACCCCCCTACCCCTCCTACCCAACCCCACCCGGCCCCTATGTACCGGGCTGGTCCGGTTCCGATTTTTTCCGGTCTGGGCCGGTCTAGTTACGAGTCAACCTGGCCCGTTAGACACTCTTAGGTTGAATGCACCAAAACAAGAGACATATTGAAGAAATGGAGGCTGCAATTCGCTGGGAAATTACCAATTCAAGGAAATTGGAAGTCAAAGTCTTGAAGTTGAAGATCTTTACTATGATATCTTGGGTCCTATTTGCTGGCTTAATTGCAGCTTGTATGATAAATAGTTATTAGTAGTAGTTGGTGAAATCTAGTTTGTATTTTGTTAAGTATCATGAATGATTAACTTAAGTGGCAGTAGTGCATTGTGTATTTTTTTGTTCCGGATTGTATGTATTAATTTGTGTTCACCTATTTTTGTTGGTTATTATGATTTGAGCTTCATGAACTTATTCCGAAATAGAAATGAGTCGCACATGTTAACTGCTACTCAAACTACATAAATGAATTTGTGCTTATTCAAGTAAAACTACACTACTAATCATATAAGTTGCAATAAGGAAAAAAACTGAAATAACAAACCGAAATAGTCTAAATTACCATTAACATTAGTAGCAAAAGTTAACTGTCAACATACAGTTAAATTGACACACGGATGCCATATGATAACCCCAAAATAAGTTACCACCTAGGTCATACTATGGCATCCAACTGTCAGTACTAATAAAGCATTTAAAACTAGAGTTAAATGTACTGTCAGAAGTCATAAATTACAGCGCCAAACCAATTTGTTTAGACAAAATACTATTACTTCAAAAACATATTGTCCTGCAAAGTTTCACTTCCCCTTTCTTGCCCTAAGATTCCCAATCTTCTCATGCGTCTGCATCTCCAGTTTGTTAGTAGTTAGAGCTTCCTTCCCCTTCCATATGAGTTGAGTATGACAGAACTGAGGGCTGACTCACACCAGTTGAATCACCTCTTAAGTTGATGACTTTTTGTTCCATCTGTAAGGTTGGGTTCCTGTCTCATTTGAAGACTTTTCCCCATCTCCGATATAACTTTTGGCCTTAAAGTAGAATCTTCCTCATCTTGGATAACTGGCAGAAAACATGTGGAACTAACAGATTTCTGGAGCCTCTTTAAGTGAGAAAAAACTGGTGTAGGAACAAACACAAAAGGATTGTTGGAGCCTACACTAGCTTGAGATTGTTCAGGCCCTAGCAAAGGTATGTCTTCATCAATATCTTCATAGCTTTTAGTTGTCTTCCTTTTCTGTGGTAGAGTTCCATTAGATGGCTATCATTAATAAATGAGACTTATTAATAATATAGATATCACTTGTTTAACTAATTATCTAATTATAGTAACAGTTACCTTTTTACACCCTCGTGAGTTGTGATTTGGCTCTCCACAGTTGCTGCAATTCATAACCCTCCCCTTCCTTGACATAGACCATTCACTTTGTCTCTTAATTGCTTCATCCTTTTGCCTTGTTCTCTTCACCTTAGGTCTACCAGCTAACTTCACTATCTATGGTGATTCCATTGCATCTGTAGGGACTGCCTTCCTGAATTTTTCTCCCCTAACAGGCAATATCTTGTGTGAATATGTCTTAGATGTTGCCTTTTTTCTATACCATCAATATATTCCCTCCAAAGGGTCAATACCTTTGTACACAAATGCCCTAATGGTATGAGGATATGGTATTCCAGATAGTTGTCAAGCCCTACAGCTGCACTCCTTCAAGACTATTTTTACTGTGTGTCTATCAGGACCTTCAGATATTTCATAGCCTCAGTCATCATTAAAGTGAACCTTGAATTTATGTGCAATTCTCAAATAACCTTCATAAAGATTCATGGCATAAGGACTAAAGTCAGTAGTCTATGACTTCACTTTGTCCTCATGTTCTCTCAACATTTCCATCACTTTCATCCTAATGTCCTCTAATATCTTAATTATAAGTTTGTACCTTGCATCCAAGATTCATGCATTGAATGATTCTGTAAAGTTGTTATCAGCAGCCATATTCTTGCATACGGTGTCAAAAAATGCTCTACACCATGACTGGGGAGGGTAATGAAGCAAATCCTTTACTGCATTTTTATCCATGTGCCCTATCTTCTTCAATTGATCATCAAAATCCTCCTCATATGTTCACCATGCACTCCACCACAGCAGCTTTTTTATTTTCCCAGATCTCCAACTTTTACACCAATTAGCCTCAATGTGTCTGACAGAATACCTATGATTAGCATCAGGTAAAACAGTTTTCATTGCCTCAACCAACCCCTACAAATCATAATGAATACAACATTAATTTAAAGAACCAGTCACAAGTTTAAAGAAACTGAAATAACTATAAAACAACATGGAAAAAATACTACCTTTTGCATGTTTGAAATAAAAGTGTATCATTCTCCCATCTTGAGCTCCAATGACATCTTTAGCATTTCCAAGAACCAGTCCCAAGTTCTCTTTGTTTCTTTGTCCACTATAGCCCAAGCTATATGGTAGAAATGATTCATTGAGTCAAGACCAACAGCAACCAAAAGTTGACCATTAGTTTTTTCCTTCAGAAATATCCCATCTTGTCCAATGAAAGGCCTCATACCTTCCTTAAAACCCATTTTCATAGCATGAAAGCAAATATACATTTTTAAGAACCTCATCTTGCCTTCAAGAAGAGCATCTTTTGACAAATTAATTATTATATCACTTCCAAGGTTATTAATCTTCAATTCATTAACATAACTCTCT